CTGCACAGGTTACCTCTGGCCCCTGTGCTCAGCCTCACTCAGCTGCATGCCCCCTTGCCTTGTCTGCCTCTCTCTCTATCACCTTGGACATCTATCACTGAGTGCAGCCTTCCTGCCAGGCCTCCAGGCACTCTCTAATCACACCATCCTTCAGGGCAGCACCACAGCTCCTTCTGCAAGCCGCCCATGGCCTCTCCTCCACTCCTAACACCCAGTCACCACTAGCCAATACAGCGGCCCTTGGGAATACCTGCTTGGCCCTGATCCTACATCACCCTACAAATGGTCCTGGCAGCAAACGGAGGATGGAGAAAGCTCCCAAATCTTTGTGTTGAGCACATGTGGAGCAGCCTGAGCCTCCTCTGCCCCTGCATAGGCCTGGAGGTGCCCTCCTGTGCCTGGGAATCTGGGGATTGTGCTGCCTGCAGGAAAGGGAGGAAGACATGTGTGCCCATAGTATGCAGGGCCTTGAGGGGGAAGCTGTGCCTGCTCCTGCACAACTCCATGGCCACCTGTTGGCTGGACTAGGTGGCAGGGGCAGATGAACAGGAGAGCCAGCACCAGGGAGCTAGAGGCGAGCATGGTAAAAGTTGTTGTTGAGGCAACACTGGGGTAAGTGCGCCCTAGCAGAGGATGGTTTTGATCCATTAACCTCTGAGTTATGGGCCCAACACATGCCACTGCACCACTTTGCTCCTGCCAGGTTTTAATTGTCCTTGCTCCCCCCAGCCTGACTGCCGGCCCTTGCTCTCTCCCTTCCTCTCTGTTTGGCCCTGAATAAACTTTTGACATTCCTAGAAAGGTTAAGCTTTCTGAATAAATTATTTACAAGGTTTTAGACCCTTGCCAGTGACACCTGGTTGTGCCCAAAGCCTCTGATATCTATAATTTTTATAGTATTTAATATGACAAGCAAGAAAAAACATGAAGAGTCAGTCCTGCAAACATCCATCCAGAGACTGGGTCCTTCTGGTGGTGGTCTGAGGGCATGCTGGCAGGTTTCAAACCCCTTTGTGTGGAATTATGCTCCTGTTTACAAAATGCATTGACAGCCTGCTCTAAATTGTCAAGCCCAACAACTGTTGATATGGCTCCCCTTTATGCCTTTGAAAATTGGACCAAAGATTTTGCAATTATGTTAAGAATACAGAGCATTGTAATATGATACCAATTAAGTAACCCCAAATATGGCAAGAAATAGTCCAATATAACTTATCTTATAGACTTTTTTCCTGCTTTTTTCCAGTTTATTCTGGAAATGGAAGGTCTCTTCTGATAGACATCTGCTTGTCTGCTGCTTATCTAAAGCACTTCCCCCAATGGCATAGAAACTCAGTTTAAAACACAGGCAAAAAACTAAGTGACATGAATTCAAGACTAAAGTATTCAACACTGAATCAACTCCAGCAAAGTCAAGCTTTCTATCCTGGAAAGACAAGTCAAACAAGTGGAAGAAAAGAAAACTCTTGCACCAGTGCATCACAGCTGGGAACCATCACAGAGAAAACACTAGTGTTCTCTTATTGTGAAAGACTTGACTGCACCCATCTCCTTGACTGTGCCCCAGGCAGGTCTGATGCTGCTTCTGCTCTGCCCTGATTACTCCTTGATGGAGTTTTTTAACTCATCAGACAAAATAAAACACTGGTCATCTTCACAAAGGCAGTTAAAAGTGTATTCCTCTGGAAACCTCACAATATCTATTTATGAGCAATCACAAATAGCTCTCTAAAAGCATTAAATAAAAATGCATCAATCATGAACAAGTACATTGGTGTCAGTAAGGGTAGTTGGGTGCACAACTGGAACAAAGAATAGGAACAGACTTCTTGGGCTGAGTTAAGGTTTTATTCATGGACTACCAGTAACATAACTGCCTGTACAATAATCATTCACAGAGAAGAAGCAACATGTGGAGGTGATGCACTCTAGGCCCTTCTTGTTATTTTTCAGTCTACAGGTGATTCCATTTAACCCTTTTCACATTATCTAGGAATGATAAGTAAAAATTGTGTAAATTGCTACATGGAGTATGTGTGGGGCTGGGGACAAATGCCTTCCTCAGTGCCACCACCAGGGCGCGCAATACAATAACCACACATTGTAATCTGTGCGCCCGGGTGCGCGTGTTCGGAGGAGATACCCCCTGCGCACCCGGCGCGCTGAATAATGCAAACACCCGCTTCTTGGGCTTTGTCTCGGAAGCGGCTCTCAGCTGGTTTGGGGCGATTCAATCTCCTCAATCTCTAGAGCCTGGGATTCCTGAAACCTGGTCTTGCTAGTAAAGACCAAGGCAAAGGTGTCATTCAGTGTGTCAACCTTTTCCATGTCCTGCATCATCAGGTTCCCCAGCTCATTCACCAATAAATGCATTTCTGCATGCTCAGACAGAGCAAGGAGATATGAAAAATAATAATTCTTAATTACCTTATGCACTTTTGTCCTGTAAACTGCCAGCCAGGTGCTTTAGGGAATATATCTGTGTGGCCAATCAAAACACTTCCACCCACACCAAGGTGTGCACATATGCACATACATGCACCACACACTGTAGGAATTCTTTGAAGAGACAAGCAGAGGCCAGGAGCCCTGGAGACTCAGGGGAGGTTGATGGAGCAACTGTTGACAGCTATTGCAAAAGGAACCAAAATCATCTCAATATGAAAGGAAACTGCAGGTGCTTGTTGTTCTATTTTGACAAAAGAGCAAAAACTAGAACAACCAGTTGTACTTATAGAAATGCAGAGCTAGAGCAAGGCAAAACTAATTTTAGGGTTATGCTCACATAGCTTGTGTATTTATGAGGGGTGGAAGCCTGCCAGGCCCAGCAGCATGATGGGCTGGATTAATTGAGCACATGCATATCCAACCACATAGCTGCAGCCCCTGACCTGCCAGGGACACTTCTGCCTGCCTTAATCCTGTAAGTGGACCACTCCCCAAAAGAGTGGCCCAGAGACAGCCCACACTGGAGCAGGTTTATCCTGAAGGACTGCTGCTTCAGAGAAGACCTACACTGAAGCAGGGGAAAAATGGGAGGAAGAAGAAACAACAAAGGTAAACTGCTATGAACTGGCCACAACCCCTCACTGGGCAGTGAAGGGAGGAGATAAAGGTTTCAGGAGTGAATCATAGAATCCTTTAGGTTCCAAAGAACCTTTAAGATCTTCAGTCCAACCATTAATCCAGCACTGCCAAGGTCACTGGTAAGTCATGCCCCCAAGTGTCACATCCACACATCTTTTAAATCCCTCCAGACATGGTGACTGCCCTGTGCAGCCTATGCCAGTGCATGACAACCCTTTCTTTCAGTGAAGAATTTTTTTGCTAATATCCAACCTAAAACTCCCCTGGCACAACTTGAGGCCAGTTGCTCTTCTTCTATTGCTTGATGCTTGGGAGAAGAGCCTGACCCCTACCTGGCTACATCAGAGAGTTGTGGAGAGCATGAAGATCTTCCCTAAGCCTCCTTTTCTTCAGGCTGAGCCTCTCTTCATTGCTCGTGGTGCTCCAGACCCTTCCACAGCTCCATTGCCTTCCCTGAACATATTCCAGCCCCTCAATGTCTCTTGTCATGAGAGCCCAAAAAACTGACCCCAGGATTGGAGGTGTGGCCTCACCAGTGCCCAGTACCCAGGGACACTCACTGCCCTGGTCCTGCTGGACATACTGTGGCTGGTATGGACCAGGTGCCATTGGTCTTCTTGCCCACCTGGACACACCTGGGTTCATGCTCATCTGTTGTCAGCCAGCACCCCCCAGTCCTTCCCCTCCAGCCACTTTCCAGCCACTCTGCCCCAGACCGGAGTGTCCCAAGGACTTGGTGTGACATGAGCACAGGACCCAGCAATTCATCTTGTTGAGCCTCAAACCACTGGCTTCAGCCCATCGATCCAGCCTGTCCAGATCCTTCTGCTAGAGCCTTCCCATCCTCCAGCAGATACACACTCCCCCCAATTTTGTCTGCAAATTCACTGAAGGTGCACTCAATCTCCTTCTCCAGACTACTTTCTAGAGCCTTCCAGACCTGTCTTCTGCACCCAGAGCCACCTCCCCTGGCCTCGGGGGTGTGTGCAGGGACGAGCAGCCCGCAGCTGGGAGCGCGGCTGCTTTGATGTCAGGCACAAAGTCACGGCAGTGCAGTGTGTGTGGCAGCGCTGCCCCCTGCACCCCACACTCACAGCGGCTGCCATGTGTCCACTACCAGGTGGGGCGAAGCAACTCCGGCGGCAAGGCAGGGGGAAATGCTGCGTCTGTGTGTCTTACGCCACCTCCCCCCTCCTTCCGCTCCGCCGTCTCGCTATTCCGTATTTCTTTCCCTTTATAGGAAAAGTATGCGCAGGTCCGGGGGGGCTGCCCTGAGTCACCGAGGGCTGCGTGCCCGCCTCCGCCGCAGGGGCCAGGGCCGGGGCGGGGTCAGTGCTGCCCGCCGGGCCCGCAGCGGTGCGGCCGAGCCGCGCGTCCCGCCCCGCAGCCCCTCGGCCTCAGCGCGGAGCTCGCCGCCATGACGGGCAGGTGAGGCCGGGTACTCGGGAGCCGGGCGGGGGTCGGGGCCGTGCCAGCCTTCACCGCCCTGGGTGAAGGCCCGGCCGTGCCCTGTCCGGACCAGCTCCTTCTCGCCCTGGGTAACGCCGTGAGGGACTGCTGGGAAGGGTCAGGGGAGAAGGCTTTGCTGTTGTGAGGCTGGGCCGGACACGCTCCGGCCGGGAGTGCGAGCGCAGAGCTGCTCCGCTGTGCCTGAGCCCTGCCTGGGGACACGGCGGAGGGCAGAGCTCGGCAGAGCGGGGCGGGAGCAGCCGTCGGTGCGGGCTGTGCTGGAACTGCTGTAGGTGCGGGCTGTGCCGGAGCAGCAGCCGTCGGTCCGGGCTGTGCTGGAACTGCTGTAG